TAAAACCCTAAAGCCTAAACCTCCAAAACTCTCAACCCTAAACACCCTAAAGCCCCTAAAGCCCTCAAGTCCTTAAACCCCTAAAACACCCTAAAGCCCCTAAAGGCCCTAGGAAGTCCCAGCCCTCGAATCCCTAAACCCCAAACCCCCAAACACCTAAACCCCCTTAAAGACCCCTTAAAGGTGCCCTTAAGGCCTTAAGATACCCGAAGCTCCCCACCTGCAGTTTCCGTTTACCTCGACTTTTCAGGAGCTCCTAGTATGGGCCCTTAACCCTGGGATCCTTATACACCTGCTATGTACCCTATATGTGCCTCTAAGGGTCCCCAGAAGAGTCCATATTAGGGGCCCATGCTTCTAACCTTAGATAACCCTAAAACCCTAAACCCTAAGCCCCTAAACCCCTAAACTCCCCACCTAAACCCTAAAACCCTAAACCCTAAACCCTAAACCCCTAAACCCTAAAGTCCCTAAAACCTTGAACTCCCCACCTGCAGTTTCCTTTTAACCCGTGGGCCCCAGGAGCTCCAGGTTTCCGCTTAAATATCCCTTTTAAAGGAGCCCTTAGGGTACCCTAAAGTCCCTAAAGCCCTAAACCCTAAACCCTAAGCTCCCCTACTTTCCTTTTAACTCGGACTTTTCAGGAGCTGCAAGATGACATGAACCTCTGCGAGGTGAAGCTGCAGCGAGCGTCGGGGGCCTTTTTTGGGGGGACGCGGGGTTTTTTAGGGGGTTTACGGGGGGTTTGGGGGTTTAGGGGTTTAGGGGTTTGGGGGGGTTTTGGGGGGTTTGGGATTTAGGGGTTTGGGGCAATTTGGGGGTTTAGGGTTTAGGGTTTGCGGTGTAAAGCTGGGGTCTAGGGTGCCGGCTACTCCGGACTCCAATATTGACCCGACGTAGCAGCACCCAGCAAGGCAGCCTACGACCCTAGCCCCATTCTTCTGAAAGCCCCACATGGGGAGCCTTTAGAAAGCATGCCGCATGCCTGTCTGCGCGGCGACCCAGGCACAAGTTGATTGGTGGCCTCGGCGGAGAGAAAGCGCGATGGGGACAGAATGTTCAGGAGACTTGCGACAGGAACCCCTAGGCCCCAAACCTGAAACCGAAGGCTACCCTGTTCTCCATGTGTGGACCGGTCGTCGTGCAGCCTTCCCTGCCCTGTGCGAGTGCGAGGGTGATCGAAAGCGGAGCCCTAAGCTTTAAAAGTATGAGCATTAACGGGGGCTTGCTCTTAGAGTTTCACGCCGACTACGCCTGATAGACCTCGCCTTGATTCTCCGAGCTGTGGGAGTGTAAACAGATGAGCCCGGAGCCATCCTCCTCTTTTTGGTGTTGCAGGACCTCAACGCACAGCTGGGACTTTTGCCTGGTGACTGCATCGTGGCTGCTGGCATGGTCTCCTACGCCCAACTCTAAGACAGGATGGCCAGAAATGGCCAGAAGAGACTTCAAGCATCAGAACAAGGATAGAGGGTACGGCTGATGATATAAATCCTGCATTACCCATATTATGGAATGAATACCATAATCTTTCCCATAGCTTAAAGGGCCCATATAAGGGTACTGCAGGATTTTTATATCATCCACAGCATGATCCTCTGCTGCCATCTCCTGTCTGCTGGCCGAGGCCGGACCCTTCACCTCGCAGGTCCGAAACGACTGCGAGGAGCTCTGGCGAAAGGAGCTGACGGAGCTGGACATGGCCCACACCAAAGGCCCAGAACTCTGCATGATTTTGCGGAGGTTACTATGAAATCGGCACATGACATGGTTATGTATTATTCCGATTATTCCTTGTGATGCACCACATTATATGCGACTGGAGTGACTAGAGCTTGGAAAGCTGACAGCTGCCAGGATGCAGCATGTCGACCGTGCTTGGGGATCCAGTAAAGATCCAGCGGCTGAGCTGAAGAAGAGCAGTGGTATTTCGGGCACGTGCCCGTATCCCCAGCAACGTCCCCAGAGTGCCGAAAGAGGCAGTGGGTGGTCTGCTCCCTGCCGAACGACCAGCTCTCCATCGAAAACGGCATCATCATCGACCGTGCGAGGCAGAGCATAGAAGCGACGGTTTATCGCGACAGCGCGGAAGATGGCAGGCGCTGGCCCCTGATGATCGACCCTCAGAGACAGGCCAACAAGTACATCAAGAACATGGGCAAGGCTGAACGTAGCTTTCCACGTCGCGGGGTGCCCTCTTGGCGCGCGTTAGTTCCCGACAGGACACCGAAACGGGGATCGATGTTTGCAAGCTCAGTGAGAAGAACTTCTTGCGAACGCAACTTGTCCCGAGAAGGCCCCAAGGCCGACGGAATTAGGTCGTCTTCTGCCTGGGTGCCAGGTTGGAGCTTGGCATCCAATTCGGCAAGTGGATTTTGTGCCGCTTCCCAGACTTCCAGCCATCAGCAGAAAATTCAGAAGGCTCTTGAAACCCTAAACCCTAATCCCTGTTGAGGCTGGAGAACATTGGCATCAACCTCGACCCCGCTTTGGAACCAGTGCTCGGCCAGCAGAAGGTCAAGGACACTTCTCCTAACTGCGTAGCTCTTCTTGCTTACTACTCTTCTCACGGTGACTGCTGTTTGAATACCTGTGTCATCATCGTGCCTCTTCGGCCTCTTATTGCTATCCTGCCTATGCTTATCAGCTTATCATCACTACTATCACAGTCATTGCCTTCAGGGCTTGGGATAGATTGTCCTTCAGCGAGCCAGGGCTTCTTGGCTCCTTGGCTTCGGCTTAAACCCATGCTACGATCCTACAACCGCAAGCCCTGCACGTGAAGGCCTGAAGTCCTCGCCTCCCGGTGTAGGGCTTTGGTTTCTTAACCTGGGTTTCTTTGAGCAGGCTTCTGTAGCTGAGGCTTCCGATGACCGTTTGATGTTGTGGACCGTGAACCATGAACCTCATCTGGCTGATCCGAGTTTGGTGCCTCTGCCCTGTCGTGGCACGTGCTTTGTGTTGCCCCAGGGATGCCGGCTGATTTTGGGGGCCTCGTGCCTTAGATCTCTCATCCGTTGAAGCTGTCTAGTTGGCAGGATGGCTCCGGCTACGTCATCAAGCTCGGTGACAAGTCCGTCACATACACAGAACCTTGACCTGAAATTTCCAGAGACACAAGCAGTCACTAGCAGCTGCAACCTTGCACCCAGGAGACTTTCAAGTTCTTCATGACAACGACTTTGCCGAATCCACACTACTCGCTGCGTCCTCGGACAGGCGTTTGCTTTGTCTGCCGTGTTTTTGAAATCGTTAGCGCGAGGCCAGAAACCTCCGTCAAAGTGACTCTGTCCCTCGGCATGAAGTACTGCCAAGCTTGATGTAGCTCAGACATGACTGAAGACAAGGCTCAATTTCGCCATCACTCCGAGCGGACTCGAGGACATTTTGCGCTCTCTTGTGCTGGAAGTGACGCCATTTTTTGGGTGCAGTGCACCGGTTCCCAATTTAAGCCAGCGGCCCTTTGTAAAAGGACCAGATGCTGGGAATTGTAGTGGCAAAAGAGCGTCAGCAGCTCGAGTGCTGCTGTTCAGGGCCGGCAGCGTGCAGTCGCAGATAAGAGGAGGAGGAGCAGGCTCATGATGCCTCACGCGTGCTCGGGCCAAGGTCCGGATCTCGAAGAAGAGAAGAACAATCTCGTGGTCCAGAATGCCAAGAACAACAAAATCTTGAAAGACATTGAGGACGGGCTACTGCTGCGTGATCACCGGCGCTTTTCGCCGTGCCAGTTCTCAGATAGTTTTGTCAGCTAGCGTGGCCGTCGCCCACAGCCCTAAACCCTAAACCTTAAACCCCTAAACCCTAAACCCTAAACCGTAAAAAAACCCCTTAGCCCTAACTTTATGGCCTACGGCTCAAAAGCTGGGTATCCTTCCGCACTGACGGAGGGCAGGCCCAGGAGCCTCCGCAATGAGCAGCTCGTCTCCGCGAAAGGACGCCTTGTCCCTTTCTCATGGTTGGGTAGCATTCTACATCTTTATGGGTACGGTATCTGAACCCACCAAGGAATAGAAATTTAGGTTTTGATGCTATGCAGTTTTTATGGGTACTTATATAACCCAAGAATGAATTTTTCATACTATCCCAACCATGAGCTAGGTCCTGGGATGACTACTTCATGAGCCTTGCCTTCCTCACAGCGATGCGCTCCAAGGATCCGTCAACACAGGTGGGCGGTTCTCTCAATGAGCGTCCCTTACAGGGTAGTTAGGGTCCCCTTGAAAAGGGTCCTTTTTTTAGGTGTGCCATACCAGATTCTTGGGACCTAAAACGGGAGCATAGGTGCTGCAAAAGGGAGCATAAATTCGAGAACTACCCAGGTGGGCGCTTGCATTGTGAACGATCGGAACCGCATCGTCGGCGTAGGCTATAATGGGATGCCAAGCAACTGCCCAAGCGACCAGTTGCCATGGAGCAAGGTCTCGCCGGAAGGTGAGCTGGACACGAAGTATCCCTATGTGGTTCATGCGGAGCTGAATGCAGTGCTCAACAAGAATGCCGAAAGCTGTTCGGGCTGCAGGATCTACACGACGCTCTTCCCCTGCAACGAATGTGCCAAGGTGATCATTCAGGCTGGCATCAAGCAGGTGATCTTCGCTTCCGACAAGCAGAAGGAGAAGCTTTCAGCCAAGGCCTCACGGCGACTCTTCGAGCTCGCGAACGTGGAGCTAAGGCAGCACGTGCCCGAAGCGGAGCTGCTGCACTTGCCCCTCCGCTACACGGAGGAGGCGAAGGCGGCGAAGGCCAAGGAGCCACTGCCACAGCCGCTGCCGCCGCCTCCTTTGCCCTCGCAGAGCAAAGTGACAGGCCCGAGTGCCCCAAAACTGGGACTTCCGGTCCTTTCGACCATCGCCTGCGACTCTCACGGCTGCGGCTGCGGTACAGCGACAGGAGTCGACGCAGTCGCACCGGGTAGCCGTCTTGGCACTGGTGCCGCTGCATTTGCTGCTTCCGTCGCGCTTGTTGCTGGCTGTGCACTTGCCGGACGACGTCGAATACCCGCCCTGCTGAAGCGGATGTGAGCAGAACGGAGGGTTTCAAGAGGGGCTTGAAGATTCGGGGGTTGAGACACAAAAATGTCTCCTAACACCGGGGAATGGGAGCTTCACCGCGAGAGCGGAGAAAAAAGCCTTGCACTCAGTTCTTTGTTAATTGGTTAGTTGGTCATTAGGTGAGCTGATTCGTGATGCAGCTGCAAGTTTGCACCGTTAGTTGTCCGACTTGAAACCGTGCGACCTCATCTGGCTAGCCCGAGTTCTGAGAGCATACATCGTAATCATTTTTAGCCCTAAACCTTGAGGATGACATCCTTCGGCTGTTGGCCACGAGCGAGGGCGACGTGCTGGAAGACGACACCTTGGTTGACAAGGCGGGCTCTCTGAGACGCAGGGTCTCGATTCGAAGACACATTCGAGATCGCATTATATTTCAAGATATGATAGATGAGATGATACAACTGGTGGCAGGTGACAGATTCCAAAGCGGTCTCTGACGACATCAACGAAAAGAAGAAAGTGGCAGAGGCACACTCCTGCTTACCATGTCCAGATCAGTGTGCCGGGAGTGCATATGATAGCAGGTGACGGAGAAGAACATCGATGCGGCACGTGAGAGCTATCGACCTGTGGCATTCCGAACTGCTGTGCTGTTCTTCTGCATCGTGGAACTGACGAACATTGACCCTATGTATCAGTAGCTCGGATGCAAACTGCTGGTGCCTGACATATCCTGACACATTATAGTAAATTCTTGCACTTCGTAGCATACGTTTGTATTTGTAGCATGTGGTTGCATGTTATGGCATGTCATAGAATTCCATGTCATCTCATAGTTTATCACCGTGCTGCTAGAGTGCATGCATCCGTCAGAAGTCTGCTGAGGTACAGCCTGCAGTGGTTCCAAAAGCTTTTCACGATCGCTATTGATACGTCTCCGAAGTCAGAAGACTTCGAAGAGCGTCGCTTGGCCTATAAAGTGAGAGAGTTTCGGCTCTTTGAAGTCGGTTGAACCCTGAGGCCTCGGCATATTGAAGAGCTTCTTCACGGAGGCGCTGTATCAGTCCATCTGCCGTGGCCTCTTCGAGAAGGACAAGACGCTTTTCTCCTTCGCCCTCTGCACCAGCATTCTGCGAGGTGCCGGCCTTAGCCGAGCCGGTGTCAAGCCAAGCCCTAAAATGCCCAAAACCTTCAACGCCTAACTAAACCCTACACCCCAAAAGCCCTACGAAGTCATCTCGCGTGACGGAACTATGTGGAGCCTTGCTTGCCTGAATTCTTGAGCCTGCATTGTCCGAGTTGTGAGAGTCCAAAAGCCCTCAGCCCTCAACAAACAAAGCATCCCATACCCCTCAACCCTAAACCCCTAACCATGCAGCAGGGAGAGCTGTTGCTCTAACTCGAGCATCGAGGCGACAAGCTCTTGGATGACGGAGAGCTGCGATTCTTGCTGGCTCGCTGGCTGCAAGAGGGAGTCTTCAGCGCCCTTTGCACCGCCACTTTTGGACTCTAAACTCCGTGTGCTATAGGCTAAGGCGTAGATCCTAATTTAAGGTCGGTCCGACGGCGGACTTGGTGGAGAAAGGGCCGCCGATTCCGGAGGAATGGGTGGGGAAACCGCGGTGGAACGAAATCCTCACGCTGTCAACCCTTCCAGCTTTCGCCGGTTTCTCTGACTACTTTGCTTCGCATGTGTCTGACTTCAAGAAGCTCTACGACTCTGTAGAAGCTGACAAAGAGCCAGTGCCGGGGGACTGGGAAGCCAAACTCACCCCCATGCAGAAGATGTGCTTCATCCGGGCCATGCGTATTGACTGCTTGAAATCATCGGTGATTACATTCATTTCGCATCAGATCGGTCAAGCATTCGTCGAGCCACCCACCTTTGACATCAGCAAATCCTTTGCCGACTCGGTGAACACGACACCTTTGATCTTCATTCTGTCGCCAGGCACTGATCCAGTCTCAGACGTCATCGCCTTCGCGGACAAGCTGGGCATGCTGAAGCGATTTGAGTCCATTTCCCTGGGTCAGGGGCAAGGGCCCAAGGCAATGAAGCTCATCGAAAATGCGCAGGGCAGCGGCGGATGGGTCTTGCTTTCAAACTGTCACCTGATGGAGTCTTGGATGCCCACCTTGGAGGCTGTCGTGGAGCAGTTCAACCCTGACAACATGCAGACCAGCTTCCGTTTGTGGCTCACATCTATGCCGGCCAAGTCCTTTCCGGTGCAGGTGCTGCAGAATGGAGTTAAGATGACGAATGAGCCGCCCTCTGGGCTGCGGGCCAACTTGCTTCGTTCATACTCCGCGCTCTCGGACGAACTCTTCAAGGAGTCGAACAAGCCGGAGATCTTCAAGACACTGCTCTTCGGCTTCTGCTTCTTCCATGCGGTCGTCCAGGACAGGCGCAAGTTTGGGCCGATAGGCTGGAACATTGCTTATGGCTTCACACCGGAAGATCTACAAGTCTGTCGGCAGCAACTCATGCTCTTCGTCAACCAGTATGAGCAGGTTCCTTACAAGGTCTTGAACTTCCTGGGTGCGAAGATCAACTATGGTGGTCGTGTCACCGACGACAAGGATAAGCTTCTCATCTCGACGATCCTTCAGACTTTCATCTGTCCGGAGTCGGTGGAGCAAAAGGATGGTTACAAGTATTCAACGAGCGGCCTCTACTATGCCCCAGCTGCAGAAACGATGGAAGAGTTCATCACCTACATTAAAGGCTCAACCCCTGCCATGTCCGGTCTGCTTCCCGAGCTGCCGCCACTGAAGACCCTAGACCCGGGACCCTTAACCCTTAACCAAACCTAAACCCACTTAAGCCTTGATTCTGCAGTGCCAACAAGTTCCTAAAGCCCCCTTCCCCCTAAGCCTGGCTGGCAGGCTTGCCTTTGTATCCCATGCCCGAAGCCTTTGGCCTGCACGAGAATTGCAACATCACTTGCGCCCAAGACTTAGTCCTCGCCGCTTCCTAGAGTTTAGGGTACACAGGGGTTTAGGGTCAAGGCTTATGAGGCTTAGTGATCTTTTGTGCTAGGTCATTGGAGATAGGGCTTGGCTTTGGGCCCATCGCAGGGCCTGAACGCAGATTGCAGCGTTTCTTCTCCGAAACTGAGCGCTAAGGCCCAAGACGAAGCATTGAAGCTTCTGACGGGGATGCAAAGCATGGCTTGGTCCTGAGATGCTGGCCGACGCAGCGCAAGCCAAAGCCCTGAATGCTTGATGAAGTGAATCCTTGCCCCTAAGCCCTAAGCTCCCAGCAGCCCGAAGTCCCAAGCTAGCTGGTATATTGAGTCAGCTTGAGCTGGCACATTCTGGCACCAGAAGCGCGTCACCGCATGTCATTCAGCTTCGAGGAAAGTCTTGTTTTGACCTGCGAATGGGTTTACGGTCTCACCGACTTGATATTTGGGAGATCATGGGTGGGGTGCTCAAGTCAGAACGATGCGAACCTTACCAGTACAGTCGTGTGTCTGGGCACTTTATCGCCATTCTAGTACGCAGTGCCCTCAGTTCCCTCCAGCTGGTTCCATCATGCCGTGATTGGTGTTAGCAGTTCTCGGCGTCTGTTGTCCCAGAGCACTACATGTAGTACTTTCAGCTTGTTGTGAAGCCTTGTCTGCCTGGTGCGAGTGTGAGAGTCGAAATCGAAGCTTCTTTTCGGCCTGGTTGCCGAGGTGTCCTTGAGCTCTGGTGGTGGCGAGGGAGGGTCCGCAGATTCAGCACCTCCTTTGCACTCACTGACCAGTGGTACCCATCCACGGATTGGGTCTTTGGGCTTGCGTACCATCATCTTCGCATCGCATTGCAAGTAACTGGCTATGCATTCTGTGCCTGCTTGCATGTGGCAGGTAATGGATGACACTGCAGCATCAATTCAAGATCGGCTGCCGAAACCATTTCCTTTGGATGTCTGCGAAACCAAATTCCCAACACTGCCCCACGGCGGCAGCAGCAGCTGACGACTCCCACGAGTTGGTGTTGTGTCTAGCATTTCAATCGACAGGTATGAAGAGTCCATGAACACGGTGGTCAAGCAAGAATGCCTTCGATACAACAAGCTGATCTGGTCAATGACAAGCTCTCTGAAAGACTTCCGAAAAGCCATCAAAGGCGAGATTTCGGTCGTCCCAAAGCGCTCCTAGAACCGAACCCTAAACCCAAAATACCGCCCACGACCCTGGCGGCAGGGCTCATCGTGATGACTGCAGAGCTGGAAGCTGCAGGCAAGTCTTTGTTTGTCAACGAGGTGCCAGAGATGCCCCTGTCTCAGCCTGTGCTCTCTGGTAGAGAGTCATTAAGTGCATGAAGGACTTGCAAAACGTAGCTGAGGTGGTCCAAGAAGGGTCCTTTGTCCTTGAAGCCCCTCAGCAGCTGGTACTTGGACATTCTTGCGCGCGTTGGGCTGCCTGGGCGCAGAACCTCTCAGTCGGTTCTATTGTTTAGGTGGAGGGGTTCAGGGCTTGGGGTTTAGAGTTCACCGTCGAAGTGTGCAGCCCTGCTAGAGCTTGCATCTCAAAAGGTTCTTCCAGATGTGGTTCGACCTTGGACATGCACCACCCGTCTTCTGGATCAGTGGCATCTTCTTCCCACAAGCGTTCTTCACGGGGGCGATGCAAAACTTTGCCCGGAAATATGGGGAGGAGATTGACCTGCTCTCCTTTAGCCAGCACACTATGGATCACATCAGCGATGCCAAGGCGCAGCTGACGACGCCTCCCGACGATGGGGTGTATGTTTACGGCATCTTCCTGGAGGGGGCGCGTTTCGACAACACGACCCACCAGCTAGAGGAGTCTCGTCCGAAGGAGCTCTTCACCGATCTGCCTCCGCTGCAGTTTCTGCCTGTCAAGAATCGTGTTCCTGACGCCGCAGACTATCGGTGCCCATGCTACAAGGTGGTATCGCGGAAGGGAACTCTCCTGACAACAGGGCACTCTACAAACTTCGTGCTGTATATCGAGGTGAAGACGGACCAGGTCGTAGACAAATGGATCAAGGCAGGCGTGGCCGCTTTCCTGGCATTGAAGTACTGATAACACCCGACTTCGAAACACGATACCTACATCGCTGTAAATGTCCTCAGTCTCACCCTCATATGGTTAGTGTTTGGCTCTGCTGGGAATCCAAGCAGAAGCCTGTGTCACATGCGCTGAAGGGCGCATCTTCAAGAGGGCAGTCGAACGACCAATCTCAGCCACTCCCAAGCAGGCCGCCCTTTCGTGTCATGAGTTTCACAAGAGTGAGGCATTGCCCATGTCTAGTCGGGCCCCCTCACCAGTTGTAGAAGGCTCGATATGCCACAAGTGCTCCAGTCCAGCTAGGAAGATCTACCGCTAGGATCGCTGTCAAGGAGCGCAAGTGGCTGCAAGGATGTGTTACCTGAGGCTACCATCCAGGGAGCGCAGCTTCCAGATAATGAGCTTAAGCTGCGCCTGTGGCTTCAGTGCACGTCGACACAGGTTGCAAGCTAGCGAATTCTCAGCCGTTGCCTTCGGAAAGAACATTCGACGAATTTGGAAGACTGCATGCCATGTGAAGGAGTCCAACTCTTTCGGTCGCTTCCTTGCTTGTTCCTTCCCACAGCACAAGGTTCACAGCCTTGCTCGGATACGTTTCATGAGTGCGGCAAGAACTCTCCACACGTTTCGCACTGGATCCTGTTGCTTGCTGTGGTGCCACGAAGTAGTCTGAAGAATCCAGCCCCGTAAGTCCCAGCCACTGTCACGCGTCTTTTAGTCGTTCGAACGAGTCGTAACCAACACCCGAACAACTCAGCTTCCGCAATGGGCTAGTGGCGAACAGGCAGAGATGCTCCACCTGCCGTCGCAGCCGGGATCTCCGCAGCTTGAAATTCGGCGCCCACCGAAGACCACAAAGGAGGTGAAGATAACTCCGAACTTGAGACCCGGGAAAACAAGGGAGAAGACCAGGCGAAGCGACTTGGAGCAACATCGGGCTGGAGATGTCCCACCGCTCCCCAAGTTGCTAGCGGATGGACTGCCTCAGTTTCATGAGAGATGCATCGGGGAGGTCTGGCTCGCCGATGCCTCGGCAGAAGTACGAGAGATCCTCCCCATAACCGGAAAGCTCGAGCCGCTCCTTGTAGACAAAACCAAAGCCGAGGCCTCCCTGGTCTTGCCCGTCCCTCCCGTCCCTCCCGCCCCGCCCCTTCCCCCAGCCGCCCAAGCAGCGGCTTCGGAAGCTCAGAGCTCAATTCCTCCAGCTCCGGAGCCGGAGCCCTCGGAACCGGAGCCGTCGGAGCCCACGAAGGCCCGGCGCGTGGGCGCGGTGAGCGTGGCGAACGCCGTGGCGGCGTCGGGCACGCACAACGTGCTGCTCGGACTCCGGGACTTTTTCGACCGGCCGGCCCTGGCAGGGTCCAAGTTGATCGGTATCCGCAACCTCGCCAAAGTGCACGAGTTCGACATCGACGACCGCTTCAACTACTTCTTAAACCAGGCAAGGCCACAGCCAGCCTAAGGCTTGGAGGGGGGGGGTGGGGCCTGCGGAAGTCGTGACAGGCCGGCAGCGACCTTCTGCCGACCATCCACATCCGCTGGAACAACATGTTGCTGAAACAGGCCAGCTTTCCGCCTTCCTGGGTGTTTTTCTCAGGAGGCCGTCGGAGTGACAATCGTGAAAGGTGACTGATATTTGTGACAGCTTGCAGCTGAATGGCTTGGTCTTCTTGTGGTGACCTCAGATGCCAGACGGGCCTCTTATATTGAGGTCCCAGACTATCCTGAGGTGCGGTCCCAGCGAGGTGCTAACGATCGCAAGAATCACCGAACACCTCCAGAAGGCGTCTGCTGTCAGATGCTGTCAGCTTCAGGACTTGGCACCATCAGCCCTTTCTTTCAGGAGCGGCCCGCTACCACTGTGGCTACTGTCCTTCACAGCGTCAGTGGTTGGGCCGTGGCCTCGGCAAACTCCGTCGCCTCGACTTCCCGCAAGCCTTGGAATCGCAGGTTACACAGCCGGATTGGATCCAGACAACCCTAGGCCAAGAGCCGCACACCCCGCTTGCAAGCCGTGCTTGTTTCCTGTACGCCTGTACGTCTCTCTCTCGCTCTCTCTCTCTCTCTCTGTCTGTGTCTGTGT